AGGCAGTTGCAGCTGTGGTCATGAGCTTCCTGGCCACTGGCAAAGCCTGCGTTTCCATAAGACCTGCATCATGGGGTCTCTCTGGTAAGATCCCGATCGCCGCTGTGCCCGCGTTTGTTCTTGGAGCGGTCTGTCCCTTCAGTATCTTTAAAGAGGCTGTTCAGGGTAGCGGGGTCTTCCTTCTCAAGGCAGGTGTGGGGCACAGGGCCGTGCTAGCTGTGAGGAAAGACCTGCCCTCTAGTCTGCAGGCTCTGGTTGCCTTCCATCAGAATCAGTATGTTCCAGGCTCGAGAGGCAAAAGCTGGAGGATGAAGGCTAGGGCTACGGAAATCACCTGCCACAGAGAGCCCCCAGCCCAGCGTTAGAGGTGACAGGGACACCCCCCTGAGCCAGGTGCCCGCTGGCTGTAGGCGCCTCACGGCCCACCCAAGCAAGGTGACTGCAGGCTGAGCCCTTCCCACCGAGCGAGCACCTTCAGGGCAGCCCTGGAGTGCACCAGCTGGGGCGGGGTGGGGACAGCAGTGTCTGTCCAGCACGGCCATCAGACAGCCCCCAGGTGTGAGTGCTTCTGTGTCCGGCTGGATCGCAGAGACCAGTGGCCTACGAGCCAGAAGGCCGAGTCTGGCTGGAGCAATGGAGAAAGTGCTGGAGTGTCACAGTGCCACGTGGCCCACACACTGGCGGTGGTTGCCACATTGGGTGCCGGTCCAGGCTTGCCAGCCATGCGGTTTTGCAAGAGAGGCCAGGAGTCCCTGTTTCCAATGGATTTCCTCCTTTTTAAAAGCATGGTGGAGGGTGAGGTGGGAGGATCACCAGATGGAGCCCAGTGGTGGCAACTTAGCAAGTTACAGGGTAACTTAGCAAGGGAGACTTTCCAAAAATTAAAGAAGTGGGGGTGTGGCTCACTGCGAAGGCCGTAGGTTCAGTCCCTGCTGCCCCCCGCTTGGCATCTGTTTCTAATTTTTTTTAAGTATAAAAGTTATACAGTTCACTGCTGGCCAAAGATCAGTGCAGTAGCCCTTTGTTCTCAGATCGACTATTTTCCACTGTCGTGTAGGAGGAAGCAGTCATTTCTCTGAGACTCTGAAGTTGAGCTTTTGGAGTCGTAGCCGGTGAAGGGGAGTGGTCACCTGGCACGGTCGGGACATCCTCCCGCGTTGACATGCCTTCTGTTCCTCTGTTAAAAGTAAGGCTCGCACCAGGGAAGCCCAGAGAAAGCAGAGCTATGGGAAGAGGGATGGTTCTCGACAGAGGAGAGCAGTTTGGGATAAATTCAAATGTGCGATTTGGCTTTCACTGGTGGTACGGATTTACTGGGTGAATAAATTCACCATTCTCCGGCCCTGCAATGAATACATCCACCTCCCTAGAGTGCCCAGTTGCGCTCCCCCACTTGAGCGAGGAGGATGGCAGAGAGTTAGAAGGTGGTTACCGTGCACTGCCACAGAGAGGAGGCGCGGGCAGGTCACGGGAATGTGCAGCCATTTCTGGGAAGCCAGGAGCAGGGAAAGCTCCGGAATTGGCCCTGCAGAGTTGACCTTCACTTGGAGAAAGGGTGATTTAATTTTTAAACGCATCTTCTTAGCATAACATGACTCCAACAGCACAGGCAGCTCCCGACAGAGGCGCTTTCTCTCCTACATGAATGACGCACGGGATGAAAGAGTCCACGCAAATGAATCTCGTGCTTGATGGAGAAAAGCCTTCTGGGGATCTTCTGAGCCAGGCCGTGGGCTTCCTGGGTCCCCAGGTGGCAACTGCTCCAGCCTAGCACAGCCCACTGAGCATGAGAGAAAGAGCCTTGTTCACGTCCTGCCAGTAAAGTGCTTCAGCCACCGCAGAGCTCTTTGAGGGTTGATTCTGTCAGTGTTCGGTGTGAAAAACGGAGGCACTCAGGAGTTGCCAAGTCTGCCTGTCCTGGTACTGCCCAGCCACCGCCCCCTGAGGTTTGCGCCACCAGATGTCTGGGTGCCAGTGTGTTTGTTTAGCTTTGCGTATGACCTTAGTCCCTGCGTCCGGGGAGGTCCGAAGGGGCCTGGGTTTGCAGCTGTGCTTTAGTGACGCTCACAAATGCTGAGATTGGCGAGCGAGGATCGGGGTAGAGTCTTGTTTCAATCATGCAGCCCTGGCATTTGGTCTCATCTCAGTACCTGCCACAGTCCCGGGGCGTATGTGTTTGCGCCCCGCCCCTGGGTACCTGACAGAAGTGGGCACTCTCTCAAATTAGCTTAGCACTCCAGAAGGGTCCAGAGTCCCCATCAAGAGAGTCCCTGCTGCCAGAGTGAGTGGCACACACGTGTAGTCCCAGCATTCTGGGAGGGTGAAGCAAAAGGATCACAAGTTCATCGAGCAACTTAACAATGTAGCAAAACCCTGTCTCAAAATAAAAAATAAAAAGGCTGGGGTTGCTGCTTAGTGTGAAGACCCTGGATTCGATCCCCAGCATTGCAAAAGGAAAAAAAAAAAAACAAGAAACAGTCCTACCTACTTTGGGAGCCAACCCAGCACAGCTTCAGTGCACATCCTGCCCAGGAAACATACAGAAAGACATAGAAACTGCCAGTGTCACTGCCTGTGGCATTTGGTTTTATCTGACTGACATAGAATGAGCGTATGACTTCACAACACGTTGCAGGGTACAGTCCAGTACAGTGTCCGATGCACAGCCATCAGATCAGGGTAACGACAGCATTTCCCTTTCCTCAAATATTGCAGTTTCTCTATGTTGCGAACCTTCAGTGTCTCTCTCTCTCTCTCTAGTTCCGCCAAAGTTTATAAGACGTTGTAGACTACAGCCGCTATGTGGTAGAACACTAAAGCTAACTCTCCCGTCTACCTGCGTTTGTTATACCCAGTGTCTGTGTCGCCTCCCATTCCCTTCCTAGCCTCTAGTGACCTCCGTCCTGCTCATGACTCCGAGTGATCAGCTTCACAAATGAGTTAGGACGTGGTGCTTTTGTGTCTGGCTCCTATCACTTGGCGTAACGTCTTCTGGTTCCATCCTCTCGCTGTGAATGCCAGGATCTCATCCTGTTTGTAGCCAGGTAATATCCCGGTGCGTACACAGGTCACACGTCATTGTCATTCGTGCGTCCGCTGACACCTGAGTCGATCCTGTACCTGGGCTCTCGAGGACAGTGCTGCAGTCGCCATGGTGTGCAGGTGTCTCTGACACACCGCTTTCGTGTCCGCTGGCTGTGTCCCCTGCGGTGCTGCCGCAGGCTCACGGAGTGTGGGGCTGCATCTCTGAGTTCCACACAGCTCTGCTGGTCTACGTCCCCACCAATACTGCGCCTGAGTTTCCCTTTCTCCATCTCCTGCTGGCATTTGTTGATTTGTTGTCTTTTGCCCGTAGCCATTCTGACAGGGGTGAGATGATAGCTCATCGTGTTTTCTGTTTGCATTCCTGGAAGATAAATGATGTGAGCATTTCCCCCATACTTGCTAGCCTCTTGTATGTCTTCTGAGAACTGTCTGTCTGGGTCTTTTACTCATTTTAATCACAGTTTTTACTTGTGTGTTGTTTGAATTCCATATATAGTATAGCTATTAAACTCTTCTCAGAAGGACAGTGTACAAATATGTTCGCCTGTGCTGAAGGTATCTCTCTACTGCTAATCACTTCCTTTTCTGTACTGATACCGCCTAGTTTAATAGGACCCCATGAGTTTAGATTTGCTTTTGTTGCCTGTGCTTGAAGGTCTTATCTAAAAACCATTGCCATAGAGCTGGGGCCTGCCTAGTAAGCACAGGACCTTGTATTTTTTGCATTTTTTTGTGTGTCCAGTTTTTCCAGCCCCATTTATTGAGGTAATTGTCCTTTCTTCAGTGTATGTTCTTGGCGTCTTTGTCAAATGACAGTAGGCTGTAAATACACGAGTTAATGTCCAGGTTTTCTACTCTCTTCCATTGATCTCTGTTTGTTTTTTTAACAGCACTGTGCTGCTTTGGTTACTGTGGCTTTGTATGGTGTTTTGAGGTCAGGTATTGTAATTCCTCCAGCTTGGCGTTTTGTGCCCAGGATTGTTCCAGCTGTTCAAGGCCTCTATGGTTCCACAGGAATTTGTGCCTGTTTTTTTTGTTTTCTCTTTTGTGAACAATGTCATTGGTATTTTGATGAGAATTGTATTGAATCTGAAGATGGCTTTGGGTAGTGCAGGCATTTTAACCATAGTAATTCTTCCAGTCCCTGAGCATCCAATGCCATTCTTGGTGTTGCTACTTGAACTCTCACTTCCAGCGAAACATCCGAACAAGACAGTGACGTGCTCTAGCCAGAACCTTTAATCATCAACAGCCAGGGGTGAGCCAAGGCCAGGAAGGCTGCTCAGCAAGCCTGGCACCAGTCACAGACATACAGCTGTCCTTGGTATGAAGGAGCACGTACCCCGAGAACTCCTCTGCCCTGGTGCCAGAACAGCTGTTTCCCTAGCGTTTGCACTGTGTTAGTACTGTAGGCAGTCTAGAGACAGTGTAAGCCCACGGGAGGATGAACCTACCTTGCCTGTGTCCACTGCAGCATTTCGGCAAGGGACTTCACATCCTCAGATTCAGCTGTGTTACACATGGTTTTCGTTTTATTTGTAAATTCGTGCATTTTTAACATTTTGTGAGCAAGCAGTGACATCACTGCCCTTTGCCCCGAAACATTGCAGAATGTGTACCCTAAGAAGAAGGGCATCCAGTTTACCTGACCACAGGCCACTGAGGACATTCAGGATCATTAGCACTGACACAAGACCGTTTCCTAAGACACAGGCTGTGTTCCAGTCTCTCCTCTTGCTGCAGTCCCATTCTTTATATCGCAGGCCCGGGGTCATCTTTGCACCCATGTGACTTCCCAGGCTGCTGTGAGCCACACCTGTCCCCCAGGCTCGCTTTGTCTCTTGTGACCGGACATTTTTGGAGTGTGCTGGCCTGTTGTTTAGAGTGCTTCTCCGTTGGATCTTGCTTGTTTCGAGCAGTCCTCCAAAGCAGCACCTCCTGTTTTCTTCCCCCAGGACCTTGGAACCACCGAGGAAGATTCCTGTTGCCACCCCTCAAGCCCACACACACTGCTAAGGACCGAGAGGAAGTCGCTTTGGCGGTGCTCCAAGCCATCCAGGTGGAGAACGCTGCCCCGCAGAAGGTGATCTCCCAAGAGGCAGAGCTGCCTGCCAGGCCACTGCAGGTGCGCACCAGGCAGGGCTGCAGGCCAGGAGGGAGCTAGTGCCACGCGGGGCCCTCGGGGCCGGGCAGTGAGAGGTGGAGGAGCAGACCGGACCCTGACCCTTGGGCTCATCTGCATTTGCTGCTTGTGGACAGTTACTGCCCTGCCAGCATTCCTCTTCTGCCACCTGCTTTCTGCTTTTGGTTTGCTTCTGAAAACCTTAGCTCAGTGCTGATGTGACCCCATTGTAGCTGATTGCTCTGCAGACTCCGGGTACCTTAGACAGAGGCCTTAAATTGCTGGGTCAGTTAAAGAGTGGAGCAAACAGCATACCGAGGCTTTGCTGGGTCCCCAGAGCAGGAGCCCTGCAGCTGCCATAGTCTCCCTTGCTCCCTGCTCTCCTACCCTCAGCCCACTGCACTTGTTCACAAAGCCTCTCAGAACCTACAGGTATTCATTTGTACCTGCTGCCTTCGGCCTTGAACAACAAACAGGAAGATGAGTGGGGTGGGGGCGGGGCACAGCCTCAGGAGCCAGAGGCCTCAGTGCTCACAGCGACTCTGAAATAGGCAGGGCTGCTGTCACCACTCTGTTTTAGACATGTGGCCACTGGCACCCAGAGAAGCAAGGTGCCCTGCTCAGGTCCTGCCTGGCTGCAGCCCCAGGTCTGTCCACATCACCAGATCCCGTCTGTACTCTGAGCACCCAGGGCCTTGTGCCCATTTCACAGACAGTGAAACAGAGGTGGGAGTGGCAATGCCCGAGGTGACAAAGCTGGGAGTCCCCCAGACCTGCTGACCCAGATTCCTTCTATGTTTCTGTTTCCTGATGAGATCTTAGGGTCAGGAATAAAGACGTGGTGTCTGTATCTTCCTAGGTCAGTTAGGTGCATCAACAAAGACGACCCTGGCAAATATGGACACGAATTCTGAAAGCACCCAGGAAATGTCTTTGTTAGAGCTGGCATTTGAGGCAGGCTTGCCACCCTGCCCACCCCGCAGCCCAAGGTGTCTGGTGGCCTGACCCCTGACCTGCAGGCCCACCCCGTTTCCCTGATAAATGAAAGAGAAGGGAGGGACCTGGAGAGTTTGGAATGAGAGCACAGGGATGTCCTGGCAGTTCTCTGTGGGGTCCGGTGGCTCTGCAAGTGGGTCGGTCCTTCTGAGGTGCCGCAGGGTCTGGATGAGGCCCTGGTCAGCAGCTCTTCGGAGCACATCGTTGGGCAGGAGCTCCCAGATCCAGAGAAGTGGAGACTTAGCGAGGTTTGGGACCTGGGCAGCGCAGGCCAGCACTGCCACCACATTCCTGTCTCCCGTTGAGACCAGTGGCTGGCGAGGCTGTGCCTTTGGCTATGGCCATGCTGTCCTGGGCCAGGAGGGTTCTGTCCACCTGTGTCTCATAAGCTTTTCATCTTCAGCTGCTTCCTGCTGCCACCACTGCAGCCACAGTGACCGCAATGCCTGAGCCACCCCAGACAGCAGGTGGAGGCCGCGCCGTCCACCAAGCCCTCGACAGGATTGGCCTCTGTGGAAGCAGGTACTGACCGTGGTGCCAGAAAGCCCTTGCCGTGCAGCCACGAGCCCCTCCCTACTGGGTCTCTGCTTTCCGGGGTTCCCAAAGACCGTTTTAAGCTGTAGCTTTAGACTACAACCCCCTCACCCCATCCAGCCCGAGAGCACCCAGGCAACTGAGTTCTGGCAGGGACGTGTTTGTGCCCTCCCCCAGGTCTCCTCGGGGCAGTGAATTGTCCCCCAGCTGTCCTGGGACGAGGGGGCCCAAAGCCACACCCTGGAAGCCTCTTTGCTGTCCTCAGGTTTGCTCACATGCACCTCTCTGCTTGCTCATGGACATGCAGCAGCACAGACTGGACTGGCAAGTTTTATTATCAAAATCACGACCTCACTGTCCAAAATGAACCCACTGATACCCAGAAGGCTGTACCAGCCACGGCCTGTACTGCACATATGTCTCAGCACATGGGGACTCTCCCAGGGCTGGCGTGTAGGGTTGTGCATGTTACAGACTGTGCAGAGTGCCCAGCCCAAATCCGAAATCCAGAAAGGGGCTCACCCTCGGGAGTGGGGAGGGGTGTACTTGCTAAGTCGTGAGCCCTCCAGGGCCGCCTCCGCCTAGAGGGAGCTCCTATTTGTAAATTGTCCAAAAAACCAAATAGGTCCGAGGCAGAGCCAGCCCTTTCCCCAAGTCTGCAGAGCCCAGATGGAAACCATAGCTCCGCACACCCAGGCCATAAATCAGGCTGGGTCTCCACACGCGGAGGGCGTCCCGCCCTGTTCCGGCGGCACTGGTCTTCCTTCCTCCTCCCGAGAGCCTCCGAGCCTCCAGGTGTTCAGGGCGCCCCACTGCGCACCACACACATGGGGTGCGCCTGGGCCCCCTGCTGGGCCTGTCCTCTGCCGGAGCACAGCAGAGCGGAGGCCTGCAGCAGCCTTGGCAGACTGCTTCTGTAAAGGCTGGCCAGGCTGGCAAGCGGTGGGTGCACCATCGCTCACCTGTTAGTTTTAACATAAAAACCACCCTTGGGCCAGAGTGGACACGCAGGCCTTGGTCTGGCCTGCCCCTGCCCTGGAGGCTGCACTCTTCCCGCCAGCCCGGCAGTCCGCTTGCCGTCTGCCCCATGTGCGCCCAACCCAGGGAGAAGCCGCCTTCCTGCTCCCCAAATTGTTCCGTCTCCCTGAGGGGCAGAGCCAGTGTGGTGCCTTCAATGGGAATATGTCCTCTTTTGTGTGTCACTTGCTGCTGCCTGTTAAAATAAAATCCCATTTCAGACAGCAGCAGAAGCTTCCGGAAGTCCAGCAGGCCAATGAAGGTGACCCTGCCCATCCCAAAGAGGTCGCCACACCAAGCAAGGAACGAGCGCTGGACACAGAGGTGAGAACCGGACTCGAAGACTGTGGAGAACCATAGATCCGCCCCTCCGCCATTTTATGATATAGTCTACGAAGCCATTTTGTATTAGGTTTAGTTTTCCTGTAGATCACATGATATGTTCCCGTGGGTGTTTGATGTATCCTTATAAGGTAATAATCTGTTCTCTGTATGCTGATTGGTTGCATTATGGTATATATGTTGCCACCCCTTCCGGGCGCGGAGAGAGCGGGGTAGAGATCCGGAGATGAGGAACTAAACTCCTTGTGTATCAAGTGTGTGCCTCTTTGCTCACGCATCGCCAGTTCAGGCCCCTGTAGTCGCAGACCGAGTTGCCCAAGGCAATCCGGCTCACGACAAAGACCATCAGATGCGTTCATCCTCGCCTCAAAAGACAAGGGTGGAAGAGCCCTCGGAGCAGTCAGGTGTAGTGGCTGGAGCAAGGGAAGCAGAGAAGAAAGGTGTGGGTGCAGCTTTTGGAAAGATCTGTCCACACCTGAGGAAACAGAAGTAGCATGTAGGAAAATCTCCCCCATTGCCGGTGATTAAGATTAGAGCAGCCTTAGCATCCTCTCTGATGCTGTGTTAACCACTTTTTTCCCACAATGGCCTCGAATCTGGCAGGGTTTCTTCCAAACTAGGCTGCTGTGCCTTGCTGGTGGCACACTCTGCAGAAAAAGGATTGCTGGACTCTGCTGGACTCAGAGAGCCTCAGAAACAGCCCAGCAGTCCCAAATCACAGAAGCAGCAAGCTGTAGGCACAAAGGTGTTTACGGTGAAATTGTTGGAAGTACGAAAAATGAGGAGAAACCCATGGAAATAATCTAAATGCCTCCTCATAATGGAGTTAATCGGAAGCATGTGGTGCTATATCAGCCTTAAAGGACAGGCACGATCCTTATGATAATTAGAAACCTGTAGCTCTGTAAAGCTAACTGCAGAGAAGATACGAATCTTTGTCGAGTCCCACGTGGAGGCAGCCACTGCAGACCGGGGCCCTGAGCTGCAGCAGGGAACCCTGCATCGGGGCCAGAGCTCTGTGGGGCTCCTCTTCTCTGCACCCACAGGTGTGTGTCCCCGCACACCCTCCACACACCCAGCTTCACCTGAAATGGGCTTATGGGATTTTTATTATTGGCCAGCAAGGACTTAATGTGAACTCCCACAGCCACGTATAAACCCACATCGCAGGAGCAAGGCCCTGTGCCCGCCTGGACCGGAGGTCCCACACTGCCCCCGGTGCCACCATGGGGAAGGTCCCGTGGGCTCCCGCAGGAGCTCTGGCTCTGGCCCTGTGAGTCTGTGGCTGCCACACAGCCTGTCACACACCAGCCCAGCGAGGACAGGGCAGGACAGGTCAGGAACGGCCTGCTGCTCAGGGCCTGGCCTGGGGCAGGGTGGGCCCAGTTGGAAGTTCATCTTCCCAAAGAACCACAGCTCTTCTCCTCCCAGCTGGAAGAGTTTCTCAGCCGTGAAGTCTGAGTGGTGTGACCTCGGCCACGTTAAAAGAGCCCATACAGATGAAGTTTCTTTGTGTTATGAGAGACAGAAAATGCAGAACAAACTGGAATAAGCAAGAGTAGAAAAGTGCAGGTTCCTGTTGCTATAAATGCTGTGGGTGAGGCCGGGCGGGCCTGGATGCTGCAGCACACACCACTCTCATCGTGACCTCAGTGCCAGCTGCGGCTTCCGCTCTGCTTCCTCCAGGGCCAGTCCCAGCTCCGCTGTCTCCCTGCAGCCCCAAAACTGCTAGAGTAGCTCCCCTCGCTCCCTTTCCCTGTGGAGGAACAGCCTGCCACCCACACGAAGCTGACATTGTCCTGCCCTAGAGCCATGCCCAGTGCCAAGCTGTTCCTGCCTGGTGGCCCAGGGGAAAGCACACCCACCCGGTTGAGAGAGGACCAGTGAGTGCCAGGGATCACGAACTTCCAGACCCCAAAGCCAGGCAACACAGAAAGCAGAGCGGTAGTTTCGACACCGGCACGTGTGAGTGACACCCTTAGTTCAGAGACCTGGGGCTTTTTCATTTAGACTCTCAGCTTGGGAATCACACATTTCTGATCGGCATTGGGTGAGAGGTCCAGAAGGGCCCCCACAAGGCAGCCCTCCTACCTGCTGTTCCTCCTGCCACGTGGCCCTTCTTCCTACCTCCAACAAGCAAAGCAAACAGCCCTGCTCCTCCTGCCTCCCGGGCTGCTCACCTGGCCCTGGCACGCTGTACCATGCACGAGTTCAAGAGCTGCCAATCCCGCGGTCCGATTATCAGCTCCCTGCAAAACTGGGACTCAGCCCAGGGCAGCGAGGGCCTGGCCGGGCCCGGAGTGGTAGGAAGGAGGGCGAGGCGGGAGCTGTGGGTCTGACAGCCAAGCTAATCAGAGCGGGCTCCGCGGCCCCCCACCGCCATCCAGCCCCATCTCGAGGCAATCAGGGCTCATCCAAACACACGCTGGGAGCAATAGCACAGCTCACTGGCTATTAATTAAAAAAATAAGTGGGGAACAGTTGCTGTTCATTTACGTGGCCCTCCTCTCACAGCCCTTGCGGATTCCGGTGCTAATTAGCAGAGGGCACGTGCACATGGGGAAAGCACTGTTTTATGAGCGACCACTCTGTGCGACCAGGGCTTCAGCGGGGCCCGGGCCCAAGGCACCGTTCTGCAGGGTGGCTGTTTACGATGGCGCTCATGCACGCTCGGAGCAGACAGCCTGCCTGGGCAGGAGGCAGGCTCTGAAGTCAGCAAAGGAGAGAACAGGAATTATGGGCGGGCACCACCATGCCTGGCCCGTTAGTACATTTTAAATGTTTTCCAAGCAGGATCTGACGTAATCTTTACGACGGCCACAGGTGTCCGGTCTTGTCTTGGCTTCTCCCTGGAGGTGGGGAAACCACAGCCCTGGGAGGCTGAATAGCATGCAGAAAGGCCACAGCAGTGCGCGTGCTGGGTTTCAGCCTGTGGTAGCCTCGTCCTAGATGTCCTTTTTCTCTCCTTGAAGGATGAGTGGAGACCGAGAGCAGAAGAGATCAAAGATGCCGTGGACGTTTTCATGGAAATCACATCCAACTGGGGCAACCCGTCCTGGGTGGGTCTCACGGAAGTGGAGTTCTTCGGTCTGCACAACACGAAGCTCTGCGTGTTGCCCCAGGACGTGTATGTGCTGAACGGTGGAACACCCGGGCAGCCGGGCCGCCTGGTCAACAGGAACGCAGCTGTAAGTGGAGGGCACCGCGGGCTCTTCATTGCCTACTTGGCACGCTTCTCTGCCTGCGTGGCAGCCTGTGCTGAGGGAGGGAGCCCGTCCTCCGCCTGGCAGACAGCCCCAGAGGCTCCCTGCACACTCCCCGGGGCCTGGCTCTGAGGGCGGCCGTCTGTCCCCTTGGGTCCCCTCGCAGCTTGTTACCAGCAGACCCAAGACCCTGGGATCACTGAGGCAGCGCCCTCATTCTGTGGGTGAGGCTGGCAGAAGCCCGACCTGGCCACGTCCACATCCGCCACCCAGGCACGGGCCGCACAGCCCACAGGTGTTCAGTACCCGAGACTTTAAGAGGAAGAAGAGCACTGGTGCTTTCCTTGCCTGCCACTTTCAGGTTGGACACAGACCGTGGGAGCAGTAGCCAGCCACGCTGTCCTTACCCCCGTGTGCTCCGGCACCGCTCGCCAGTGACCAGGAAGGCCCGAGAGCGAGGCTGGCCTGCCGGAGACAGCGGGGCTGCACGGTCTCTTGCACCTTTTAAACTACCATGTGCATGTGTTACCTGTTCTTCCCCCGAATTGTTAATTTTTAAAATGCATCCAAAGCAAAAGCCCCGGGTTCAGTTGTCGCCCTGTGCCAGCACAGTGCGCAGCGCTTCCTCCTGGGCTGTCCCATGGGCCTGGTACATGGCTCTCATGTGGACGCAGTGTGTGATCACATGCAGGTCTAAGCGCACAGGCTTGGGAAACAGAAACCCTGGGTTCAAAGCACGGCCTGTCTAACTGTGACCGCTGCTGAATTCCTGCTGTGGGGATTAGCTCAGTAGCACTGTGCCTGCCTCACAAGCACAAGGTCCTGAGTTCAATCCCCAGTACCCCCAAAAACGTAGACACTGTGGGGTCAGGACAGTGAGGCTGCAGGGTCAGCTGTGGACGGGAAGGGCTCTTCCCAAGGCTGCAGCACACAAAGGTGGCTGTTTTCCCTGGGGTTCTTGTTTACCGTGTACATACCACCAAGAAGTAGATGTTACTATTCTCAGTTTAAAAAAGGGGATGAGAAAGTCCTGGAAATCCCCAGTCCTAGAGCCCCAGCTTCTGCTCGTGACCATGTGGCCTTAGGGAGCCGAGTTGCCTTCATGGACTCCATTTCTCTGCCCCTGTGAAATGAAAGATGGGAGGTGGATCATCTGTTGTGATACTTAGATTGTCGGCAAAAGAAACCAAGTGTGACTCACTTTAGCACCATGTGTGTCTGTGTGTGTGCATGCACATGTGTTACTGAGGATTGAACTCGGGGCCTTTGTTCTTAGCTGCATTCCCTAACCCTTTTTAAAAACTTTCATTTTCATACAGGATCTTACTAAGTTGCCCAGGCTGAGCTCCAATTTCTAACCCTTCTGCTTCAGCCTCCCAGAGGGCTGGAATTACAGGGAGGCACTGCTGTGCCTGGCTTTAGCACTGTTGTTGTTGTTGTTGTTGTTGTTGTTGTTGCCGCCGCTGACTGAACTCGGGCTCTTGTGCTTTTGAGGCAGGCAGTGGAACCACTGAGCCAAAGCCCCGGCCCTAGCTCATTTTTTAAAAAAGGAAATTTGTTTCAAATCTTTTGGGTACCTAACATATTCACTCTCACCGAGGAGAAGGGCACAGGCCTCGTGGTCATGTTGGGGTCCAGCAGCCCGAATGCTTGAGCACCAAGGGTCTGGTCTTCTTTGGGGGACCCAATGAACCAGAGGACGTGAGCCCCCTCCAGATGGCAGCTGCTAGGGTGGTCCTGGTGCACACACCCTGCCCGGCTTCCTGACTGCAGTCTGTGGACCCTGAGGTTGCCTTGCCAGTGTCCCCATCCCCTTGTGCAGAAAGCAGTGGCTCCTAGAAACCTTGTGGTACAGACCAGAGCACTCCAAAGATGATAAAAGGCATCGCTGGATTTGAGAGGAGCCGATTCTGACAGCTGCTCTCCATATTTCTCTGTTCCCAGAGGCTGATGGGCTTTGCTGTGTGATGACAGAGGGCCTGACCCATGGCTTTGGTTGGGGCTTTGGTTCGGTTTGGTTTTTGACTTTATTTGTTTGGGGGCCCTGAGATTGAGGCGGGAGGCACCTGTGTCTCCCTGGGTTCCCGGGTCTCTGTGGGGAAGCGGATTCCCCTGCTCTCCCAAATGAGTGAGTCTGTGCTGCAGTCCTGGGCGACCAGGACACACTGCCTCTCAGAACACCCAGTTTCCCTGGCACGTGCCTGCCACACTTAACCCTCACATCAGCCTTGCAGTGATGCTCCCCACCTCACAGTGACAAAACCCAGTAGGGGACCAGTGGCCTGTCCCTGCCACCCCGCCATGGCCGGTAGATCCTGCTGAGGAACCAGAAGGGAAGTGGGTGCAGAAGAGAAGGTGCCTCCTGAGGAGGGAGCGGGGCCCGTGGCGGATGTGGGTGGGCCCAGGCTCCATGCCAAGCCCCTTCCCTCTGCGCCACTCCGTCTCCCCATGGCTGCACCCCGCCCACGGTGTCGAGGATGCCAGGTTGTACACCCAGCCCCGCCCCGTCCTCTGAGGGCCTGGCATGAATGTCTACTTCCTGCTGACATCTCATCTTGGATAACTCCCGGCTGTCCCGGACCACAGAGATCTAACCCTGAGCCCTGGCTCCCCTCCCATGTCACCACATGCTGTCCCTTTCCGTGACACCCGTGGGCAGGAAGTGGCACTACTGTCCCCTCAGCTGTGTCAGCACACCTCTTAGAGCCTTCCAGATTAATATGTAATTACTTCCAAATAAAGTCAACCCAGATGTGGTGGTTCACACCTGTACTCCGGCCCTCTGGGAGGTGAGTCAGGACAATACAAGTTCAAGCCCAGGCTTCGCAAGACCTGTCTCAAGAAATAAAAACAGACCAGGGATGTCATCCAGTGCAAAGGCCCTGGGTTCAGTCCTAGTACCACAAAAGAAAATTACTTCCGAATAAGAAGTTAGAGTGTTTACACACTTAGATGTCCTGGGGCCAAGTGTGAACAGGCCACTGTCCCAGCTGCCTTCCCACACACCAACAGGGCTTGCAGTTCCACCTCCCATAAGGCCTGACGCCACCCCTCTCTCCATCTCCACGGCTCCTCCCGTGTCTGATGCCTGCCCCTCTTGCTTGGACAGTTAACTGGCCTTCCTCTGTCCTCATCCACACACTTCTGTCTCCACTCCGTATCCAAAGTGATCTCTAAAGAATATCAACCATGCCTCCCCTGCTTAAAACATCGCCATGACTTCCTGTCGCACTTAGTAATAAAACCCAGGTGCCTGACTGGCCGGGAAGCTCGGAGTGAACAGGCCTGCTTCCCCCGCCGCCCGCCCCACACCCGGTGCTCCTGCAGCCCCAGCCTGCCAGCTGCTCCTTCAGCTGCTGTGTGCATGCCCACCGCTCCAGGTGTCCAGTTTCCAGATCTCCAGTGGCTCCTCTGCATTCAGATTTCAGCCGAAACATTACTTCCTCAGCAAGGCCTTCCCTACCCAGGAATCTCAAGAGGCCCTGGCTCCTTCTGAGCCCATCTTGTCATCAGAAATTATCCCGTCACGTGTTTAGTGTCTGTTAGCCCCAGGCATATCAGAAGTATTTGTCCTGCTCACACTATACTTCCAGCATATAAGCTGTGCAGTACACATTTTAAAATTTGTATTTGGAAGTAATTATAGATTGGCTATAGGAAATTGTAAAAATAGCGCAGAGAATACAGATAAAAATAGAGCCATTCAGTGAAACAAAGTTGGTTCTTCAAAAGGATCAGCAGATTGCCAAACCTTTAGCTAGGCTAATGAAAGAAAAAAGAGCTCTGATTCAAATTAATAAGGTCAGAATGAAAGAGGAGATGTTACCGTTGACCTTATGGAGATAAGAATTATAAGGGAATATTATGAACAATTGTATGCCAACAAATTAGACAACCTAACTAAAACGGACAATCCCTAGAAAGATGCAAGTGACCAAAACTGACATAAACAGAAAACCTGCACAGACCTAAAGCAAGGAGAGAGATTGACTTTCTCATCAGACACTTCCGAAGAAAAGTCCAGGTCAGGTGGACGGGATGCTGATGAGTCTTACCAAACATCTGAAGAGTTACCAATTAACAGTTCTTCCAGAGTGATTTTCGAATACAGCAGTGCCCTGGTACCAAATCAGACAAGGAAACTAGGTGTCACCCATCATTAGGGAATGATGTGAACAGAAGGTACAGTAATGTACAGCTTCATACCCACTGGGACGCCAGGATAAAAAAGGGAGAAGAAGTAACTGCACACAGGTACTAGGGAGCATGTGGAGAAGCTGGCACCCACCCACCTTCCTGTTGGTGGGGAGTTCAGCCCCGGTGGACAGCAGCCTGGGCACAGCTTGGTGAGGGAGTCCTTGCCTCACATGTGCAGAGCCCTGCGCTCCAGCCCCAGCGTTGAGAAGCCGGCGTGCTCTATAAGCCTCGTGCGGTGTGCGACCCCTTTGGTGTGTCTCGCTCAGTGCAGTGCCCTGGACGTACGTCCAAGACTTGGTGTGTATCAAGTTCGTTCCTTTCTGATGAAACTGGAGTGGGTTCTGAGACAGTGTCTTCCTGTCGGTGGGCGGATCTGTGATAGGGCGATGCTGGAGCAGAAAAGAGGCTTTGGATTGGGAGTTCGAAAGTTACCTCCTCAGAGAGACCTCCTCCAACCGTCCATTCTAAAGCAGCCACTCCATGATCCGCCGATAGCAGTTCTCTCTGATGTTCTTCAGAGTTTTTCCCTACTTGACTTTTTTTCTTGGAAATTGTGCTTGCTGGCCTTCCACCTGGGGCAGGGCTACTGAACCCACGAGGTGGGGGGTCACTGCACACCCCGCACATAGCTCTGTGTCAGCCCTAGGGACTGGGGGCTCAGGGCAAGGTGCAGTGGTCGCTGGCGCTGCCTGTGCCCGCGCCTTCCCCTCCCACAGCACAGCACAGCACACTGGCTGCTCTACGTGGTGCTCTCACCTCCCTCATAGAGGGTTTTTTTCCAGGTCTCCTGGGTCTGCCCCGGGGAACAGCACCAAGGCGTCAGTTGCAGCCCACAGCCAACTCGTCCAGTGAACTGTTCGGCTCCAGGCACCTGCATGAGTGGTCAGCTTGGTCCACGCCTGCCCAGGCTCCCATGGACGTGTCCCTCTCTGTCTGCAGGAAGTCTTATACCCGGATAGGCCAGAGCCCTGCTCAGCTGCAGGCTCTGCTGCCAGGCTGGCCCAACAGCACCCACAGTCTGGGACTGGAGAAGCCCGCACGGCGGCAGCACTGTGCACATGCCCTGCTGCTTGTCTGGCACCTTTCCTACCACCTGCGAAGGGAGAGGACTCTGTAGGCGTGCCGCCCACTAGCCTGGTGCTGGGGCTCTGCCCCGCTTCTCCTGAAGACCTGCCTGTGGACAGGAGGCCTCCGAAGGCCTGGCGGCTAATGAGGTCCTCAGTGACCGGCCGGTTAATGTGCCCTGACTTTGATCACCACAGTTCCCACACAGCCTCCTGTTACTCCCCGTGCTCACAGCACTGTGAAGGAAAATCAATTACGGCCCCTGTGCCTGCACCCAGGGTCGGCCTCCGGGCTCTCCCTCAGTGACCTGCTTTGGCTGGGCTCAGGGAAGGAGGAGATGGATTTGAAGGTGTGCTCTCCTAGCACACCTGCACCCTGCAGCTGCCCAGGGCACCAGTTCTTGCCCAGCTTGAACAGCACGCCAGAAGTCTGAACCCCTTGAACTCATCCCCCACCCCCACAACAAAGTCCACCTCCTTCCTCCTGAAAGGGACCATTGTCTCCGAAACAAGCCCCCTCTGTTCTCCCCCCGCAGCTGGAGCTGGGGCCTCCCCTCTCTGGGGCCGACAACCCAAGTCAGGCGTCCTCCCTCCCCACACGGCCCAGTGGCACACGCGTCCCCATGATCTTAAACACAGGGGCGATGCCCCTTTGGATAAATGGACCTGGCCCCGGCACTGCCACACAGTGGGTGCTCCCGGGCAGACAGGACCTGCGGGGATCCCAACGCAGCCTGTAGGGCCAGGATCCTGTGAGGGGACAGGAGGAAGGGTGAGACAGCAGGGACTTGTGGGGACTGCGGGATCAGCTCCAGGCTGTGCCACAGGGCATCCTGAGTGGCCATGTGTCTCAAATCTGCAGAGAAGCTGGAAACCTGGCTCTTGGGTTTTTAAGTGCTGGCAAAGAATTTATCTTTGTTGTCTTGTTGTTGTTGTTTCTTTTTGAGACAGGGTCTCACTATGTAGTTGAGACTGACCTGGAACTCACTATTTAGCCCAGTGATCCTCCTGCCTCAGCCTCCCGAGTACTGGGATTACAGGTGTGCACCACCACACCCAGTGTTGTTGTTTTGACATTTCACACATTAAACAAAGTACCTCTGAGAGCCAGATCCAGTTTAAAACCTCTGAAGTCCCCAAGAGAGGATGGGGTAAGGGGAGACGTCATTTCTCTCTCACTCAGTCATGAATTCACAAAGAATCGTTGGGCCTTTGCCGTGTGCCCAACACCAGCGGTGAATGCCGAGCCCTCTCAGGTGTTGCTGGCCAGGCGGGCTGGAGACGGACGTACCTGTGCCGGGGAAGAGGTGCCAGTGGGGCTCAGGTTTTAGCTGCAGTTCTCGGGGTGGGAGCAGAGGCCTGGCCTGCACCAGGCACTGAGGTCCAGCCAGCGTGGGCCAGACTGGGAGCAGCTTGGGTTGGTTCGGATGGGATGTAGACCGGACAGGAGGAGGCAGGCTGAGGAAGTCCCTGCCTGGCTTTCCCACCTGCCCCCAGGGCAATCACGAACTCAAACCACTGGTGTGCATGACTCAGAGGCAGGCGCTCTGGCGGCCTCGGCTGCCCCGCCAGCAGCAGAAACTGGGATCTGCAGTCCCTGGGCCTCCATGCTCAGAAGCCCCCTGGCACAATGCCCTGTCGCAGTCCCAACGAAGGCCTCAGCCAGATTCTTCCTTTTCTATTTTACAATTTTAAAAAATTCAACAGGCTTCAACGAAAGAAAATCAAAGCTCCATTTGCCAGGTTAATCAAACAGCGGGCGTGGTGGCCCCTTTCCCATCCTTCCTCCTGGTGCCCCTCCCAACCCTGCATATTCCTCAGAGCCGATTAAGTTGATTAAAATAAAGCCCACTGCATTTTAAATTCCCTCCGGCTGGCAGATCAGAGGGGCTGCGGCAGCTGTGTGTGGGGACAGGGTCAGCAGGGACTGAGCTCCGAGACCCGCGGGGTGCTGGGCAGAGAAGGTGGCCTGGCCTGCTGTCCCCGGCCTCCCAGCCCTCATGAGTCCGGGCCACTGTCATTTTAACCAGGCAGAAAGGAGCCTAACGGACCCCTCTCATGCTGTCCTTTCAGGGCAAGACGGAGCCCTCGGCGTGGACCTACCCCTTCCGCCCACCGATCCAACTCATCTTTGTCATCCGCGACATAGGCTGGCCGCACGACCTTGGTCTGACCACCATCAGGGTCTGGAATTTCTGGGCCCCAGAAAGGGTGAGTAGCAGGTCTGCTTCCCTGTGGGGGCTGGGTGGATGAAGCACCGAGCAGTTTGCCAGCCTGGTTCCCGAAGCCCCAGCTGGGCGAGGGCAGCCCTGCTGCCCCTTCTCATGGTGCAGAGAGGCCTCACACGCCTCCAAAGGAGCCGCCAGGAGCAGAGCTCTGGGAGGAGACCCGACTTCCCCATTTGTGGGGGAACTGAGAAAATAGGAACTGAAGCTCAGTTTTACAGATGAGAAAGCAGAGGCACAGAGAGGCTCTGTAGCTTGCCCGTAGTCACACAGCTGGTCAGAGACTGAGTTAGAACAGGAACCCAGGTGTGCAGACTCCAAGGCCAGTCTTCAGCCAGCACTCTCAAAACGCTGCTCTGCGGTGACTCACCGGGAGTCTGGCTAAGAAGCAGGTATAATGTAGCTGCTGCAGGCCTGGGCTGGACGCTTTCTGCCTGAGCACCTCCCGCTGCAGGCATTTGCCCGATTTTACTTGCGTCTGTTCCTTCATGCTGCACGTTACTGAGCACACATCAGGGCCCTCCGGCATCACGGTAAGTTCCGAAGACAGCCTGACCCTGAAGGCGCATCTTGTGCAGAAGCCCAAGGAGTAGAGGGCGAAACTCTAACACAGGGTGGGGGCGCCCAGTGGTGGGCTGCGGCAGAGGACCCGGTGTGCGAGGAAGCCGGGCGCCAGTTGCTCCGTAGGTCCCCTGAGGACAGACACGGGGGCAGGGCTTGCTGTTCCCGTCCTTTGGATCTTCTGTAAGGAAGCAGAAGGATGAGGACAAGGAGGAACTGGTCCTCCACCTCAGTCCTATGGGGCAGACATTAGGGGCTGCTGGGGACTGCGGCCAGCTGGAGGCCCGTGGCCAGGGAAAGGGCCCGGCTGCTGGGTAGGGACATTGGCTGTGCTGCTAGGTCTTCTGGCCACGGCCAGGCAGCTTGGAAATCCGATTTCTGAGGTGAGTCTTCTGTAAATGTCAGTCGTTCGTTTCCGTTTTTGCGAAGTTCCATTCAGTTCTGGGGAAGCTCCTCTCTGGGTTGGAATGACCTGCTCCAGACTGTGTGGAACAGGAGGAGGGAACACGGAAGGGCCTGGCAGGGCCCGCTCCCAGCCCGGTGCAGGGGCAGCGGGCCAGGGGGGGCCGCTGGGTGCAGGGTG